TGCCACTGTCCACCAAATCATACGTCATTTACCAGTTTGAAAGTGGATACGGAGCATTTTACGCTGGCAGAAGAAATAGGCAGTTGAATACACGGATCCAGGAGCACATCCCATGTCGGGTTAGACGCCGATTGACCTAGTCATATGATCAAAGATCATTCCCCAATTTGACACCTCAAACCCACACACACGATGCGTGTGTCATATATATTACGTCTGAGTCCAGACCGTGTGCCAAACAAATCACAGTACAAGGTAAAATATTGTGTGTGCTCACCTAATACGTTTTCCGTAGCCAAAACGTTTATCACACCTATTTTTAGAGACGGGGAAAGAAAGCGAACCTCCATGATCAACACACAGAGTACATAGTTCAACTGTGCATACACTATTTCAAGTATTCTGGTCTGATAAGAAGTGAGAACAAGATCACCACAGCTTTCGGTTTGCGCCATGACCTTCAGTGTCTCCAACCATGAGGTTTCGGAGTCTGTTACACCCAAACCCGGAAGACAAGAGGTATCTACTCTACCTAATGGATATGTGCATTTATTTAAGCCTCGTCTCCATGTCATCTGGTGGTCTCCACGTGGATTTTTCCAGTTTGGAGCGGCCACTGAAAATAAGGCTCACTGCGGTAGGTGAACGTTAGACACACGCAAAACGTTTCCTAACTAACAAAGAATATGGAGCTGAATTCGATGCAATAGCGAGTTCTTGCTCGATGCACTCACAAAAGCCCGACAACATACTTCTAAGTTACTAACCTACTCACTCCATCCCACTGGGGCCAGGCTGTGCAAGCATCGATTGTCGAAAACCACTAAGCGACGGATTTCTTTTACCCACAAATTCAAGGTCTCACGACCGTAAGGCAAAACTGATCGTACAGTGGAGCAGTATACGCGAAACATCATGTCGCCGCCACAGGTGTTGAAGTGCTGCGTACGCTGCTAGAGCCTTGTAAATGCGAGCGGTTATCTCCTTTGATGCGCTACCGTCGTCAGTTAAACGCTGCTTCAATTGTCG